AAGCTCATATAAAAATTGCTTCTTTTGCAAAAGTTAAAAAATAAAAAAAAAGATTTTACAATATTATCATAGAATGTGGAGTTAGCAAACTTTCAGGATACAAAAGTAAATGTTATTCATAGTTATCAACAACAAGCTTGCAAAATGCGTAACTTTAATAATCACACATTTTCCATTATTCTGACTTTATCATTCACCTTGAAATAAATTCAAGAAAACATATGCAGGCCTTTCACACTGAAAAACATGAATCTGATACATTTGATTAATATAGATTATTGTAGGAAACAAGCCATATTCATGAAATGCAAAAAAATAAATACATTGTATACTATATAAGAAATATAAGCTGTATAAGATTTCCTAGGTAAACTGGGAGCATGTGGGGAGGGGGCAGGGGATGAGGTATGAGGACATGAGGGAATGGTGGAGTTTGGAGGAAGGAAAGAGATATTTTGCTTTTGTTGTTGTTGTTGTTTTCTGGTTTTTTCAAGACAGGGTTTTTCTGGGTAGCCTTGCACTTTTCCTGGAACTCACTCTGTAGCCCAGGCTAGCCTCAAACTCACAGAGATCCTCCTGCCTCTGCCTCCCCAGTGCTGGGATTAAAGGCGTGCACCACCATGGCCCAGTGGAAAAAGATCTCTTAATAGAGAGGGCCATTATGGAGTTAGGGAGAAACCTGGTGCTAGGGAAATTCCCAGGAATCCACAAGGATGAACCTAGTTAAGACTCCAAGCAATAATGAAGAGGGTGCCTGATCTGGCCTTCCCCTGAAATCAGATTGATGGCTACCCTAATCGTCACAATAGAACCTTCATCCAGTAACTGATGGAAACAGATGTGGAGATCCACAGCTAAGCACTGGGCCAAGCTCCTGGAGTCCAGTCGAAGCGAGGGAGGAGGGATTATATGAGCAAGGGAGGTCAAGATCATGATGGGGAAACCCATAGAGACAGCTGACTGCAGCTAGTGGGAGCTCACAGACTCTGGACTGACAGCTGTGGAACCTGCATGGGAGCGAACTGGGCCTTCTGGATGTGGACAGCAGTTGTGTGGCTTAGGCAGTGGTTGGGGCCCCTGGTAGTGGGACCAGGATTTATCCCTAGTGCATGAACTGGCTTTTTGGGGCCCATGCCCTATGGAGGGATACCTTGATGCAAGGTGGAGGGACTTGGTCCTTGGTCCTGCCTCAACTTGATATGCCAGACTTTGCTGACTCCCTATGGGAGCAGTGGATGGAGTTGGGAGGGAGGGAGGGAGGTGGATGGGGAGCAGGAGAAGGGAATGGAGGGGGAACTGTGTTTGGTATGTAAAATGAAAAAAAAAAAAGAAACCTTTAAAGAATAATTTCTTCAAAAACATAAACTCTCCCGAAATTAACTTTTAAGTCAATGTAAAACCAATCAAAATGTCTGAAAGGCATTTTCCATTTCTTTGTTATTCTACACATCCTCAGAAGCAACTACCTAATTCCAGGAAGGAAGGCCAATATATGTGCTTTCATAAATCTATTTAACTTGTTGGCATTGTTCTAAGTGCTATACAAATATGAACCTACTTGGTGCTCGAAACAGAGAATTAGAATTAGTACATTAGTACTTTCGATTTAGAGATGAAGACATTATAGCACAAAGAAGCTAAGTAGTTGACTTAAAATCACAAATGGGAGTGAGCTAAACCCAGAGAAGGCTTCAAACCATTACTCCACAATGAAGAGAAGCAAGCAGGCCTTCATAGCATAAATTTGGAACATACTATTCTTCTTGTTTTCTGTTGTATATAATTATGAAATACATACCAAGTCCTGTATGTCGTGTGTGTGTGTGTGTGTGTGTGTGTGTGTGTGTGTGTGTGTGTGTGTGAAGATTAAGAAAGAGAATGGAACCAGTCGGTTGGAAATTTTCTCATACCTAATACACATTTTAATTTTATTGTCTCATCTTTTAGCTTTAGGAAGAATGGACCTGAAATCTTTGTTAATTATTTCATTTTCTATCTCTCCCATTTTAGCATTCATCTCTGCACCAGTAGCCATATTTGAGTAAGCTGTTATTGTCGTAACATGGTTTAAGATTCTGTGATTTATTATTTCTTTAAAATGTACTTTTGGTGTCTGTTATATGATGCATTTAATTGTAACTATTTTCCCTGACAAATATGGCATTCATTATCAGTTCTGTTGTTAATGGGTTTCTGGGATGCTTCCAGTTTGAGGTATATAATTGTATGACTATATATTACGCATGTGCACAGATGCTATTACAAATATTACTGTTCTCTTGGTGTGAAGAAACACCATAACAAAAGTTGTTTTGTTTTGTTTTTTATAAAAGAAAGCATTTAATTGACAATGAGGATTAGTCATTACAACTACAATCCTGTCAACCTCTTGCCTAAACACATCACATTTAATCATTATACCCCACTCCTTCCCAATAAATACTTTTTATCATCGTGAAAAATGCATTTAGATAATGTCCAAAAGTCCACATGGTCCCAACACTGTTCATAATTCAAAAATCTCTTCTGACCCAGGCCAAACTCATAACTCGGAGCCCTGTAACAATCAATATAAAATGGAACAAAGCATATACTCTTATGTCAAAAAGGAGAACTGGGCATGATTATAAATAATTACACCAAATATAAACCAAAATCTCAAGCTCCATGTCTGGCACTAGAGATTTAAAATGTAACCAATCAGGCAACAAAACATCAGGGTAGCCCCCATGGACCAGTTCTGCTCCCTACAAAACACATCACCTCTAGCTTGGGATGGCTTCACTCTATGTCCACAGCTTTCTTTTGTCAATGTCTTGTGGTCATGGAATATCCAAGGTTTTAAATAAAGTTAGGTTTGATAATTATATTTGCTGGCTTCCCAAGGCCTCCTTTCAGGTAAATTGACCTGGCCACACATTGACTGGTCCTAGAGGAAGCCTTATGTTTACATCATTCATGCTAAACTCTAAACTCAAAGATGTGACCTGGACCTTTTGTACCACAATTACTGTAACTTCTGTGTGCCTCGGAACATGACCCAGAAGTAATATTTCACAGTGTAAATGTGACGCCATTCTTGATTTAGATTCCTTCTTTTCAAATACAATTGTAATTTTATAAGTTACAGCCTTTGATGGGACTGTACTTTCCTTCAGTGACCATTTCCTATTTGAATAGTACAGAGCTGGAAATTTTGATTAAATGGATCTAATCATTTTTTTAAAAAATAATAATTGTAGAACCAATGCAGATACATTCTCTGTACTCTGTCTACAACTTTAAACTTCATATTCTTTTCTTTACCAAATGCTATGTTTTCCGTATCTTTTTGCTGTGTCAGTGTAGATCTGAATAAGAATGATGAACAGAGGCATGCTATAGGCCGAATGATATGCTGTCTTGAAAGTCTTTCAGCCAAATAAATTAGTCTATTAGCTTTCGATTTAGCCTCACTTATATTCTCAGCACATAGAAGTAATGGAGCCAAGTTCTTTGACAGAATAAAGCATGAGTTGTCTTTAGCCCAGTTCCTGATAAACTCCTTGTTTCCCTTTGGAACCTGATAAGCCATCCTTCAGTGTTCACATTTCTTGTGGTATTCTTGTCTTTCAAATTCTCTGCAGGATGACCTCTTAAGGTTTGCTTGTAACCATGCTAAAGCTTTCCTGCCCCAAAGTTCCAAACATGTATACATTCTATAGCAATCCTGTTCCAAAGAGCTAAGAACTCTGTGGTCAGGTTTATCATAGCAACAATCCCATTCTTGTACCAATTATCTGAATTAGCAACTTTTGTCATCACTGTGAATAAAACAATTGAAAAGGGCCACTTAAGGAAGGTGGGGATTACTCTGGCTTAGAGTTTGAGGGTGCACCAAGGAATTCTTGTCAGCAAGGTTGTAAAGCAGCTGTTACATACCTTTAACTGTCAGTAAGCAGGGAAAGACCAATGAAGATTCAGAGCTACCGTTCTCTTGTTTAGTCAGTGCAGGGTACCACCAGGTCAGTGGTCCTACTCACACTCAGAGAGTGCTTTTCTCCCTCATTAGCCTTTCTGAAAACACTCACTTTGGACAACTGCCAGGTAGGTTTCTATGACAAGTCTATGTTTTGTCCAGTTGACAATGAAAGTTAACCATTATACTAACCCTCACACGCACTTCTGCCCTTACATACTTCTATCATAAAATTAAACAGCAAGAAAAACATCAGCTGATGTCTCTCCTTAATCATGGCTGTCCTGACTTTTAGAGATATGAGGCCAACAAATAATTCAGTTCACCAACAATTACCTAGTCTCTGCTATTTACATTCTAGCAATACAAAATGAACTAAGAATAATATTTCACTTATTGCTATCTTTAATCTTTTAAAAATACTTTCATCATTTTTATTAAAATTTTATGCTTCATTCTGCTTTAAAACTGTGAACCCAATTTGCTGCAAATATTTAATTATTTTTATCTTTATTCAATCTGCTTAACTCACAATTTCCATGCTTGGATATGTGTGTGTCTGTGTGAGAGGTATTGGCTACTCCCGAAGCACAGTTACAGCTTGCTTTTAGTCAACCAACATGACGAGGAATCAAACTCAGGTTGTCTACATGAGGAGAACATGCTCTCAACTGAGAAACAACATCTCCAGCTCCACTATTAAGTTTCTGACCTTGGTCATTATATCTCAATTTTTTTCTGTTCAATTCTTTTTCAGTCTGCTTGGCTATTTTTTGTTGTTGTTGTTAATAGTGTGACATCCTTTGTTAAGATAGATGCTGATATTTTGAATTTACTTGTTTTTAACATCTAAGATTTGTTTCTCTCAGGTATATGGCTTTCTTTTCCAGGTGTTTTCTATAAGCTGCTATGTTACATTGAACTGAATAAATGGAAATTCACTGATATGTTGGTGATGTTGAATCTCTATAGAGAGATTTGTGTGCTTTTATTTAGCTTGTTGCTAGGGAATGACAAACCCAGCATCACTCTAAATTCTCACCTCAGTTCACACCATTGACCTCTGGTATCACCTACGGTCTGTTAATTACAAAGGAATATAAAGGTTTGTATGTTTATGAATTCTCAGCACAAGGTTTATTGTTTGGAATTCCCAAAGTCCATGCTGGGTTATCTCAGCATCAGGGTGAGCTGAGGCATGTTTTCATCCTGCCTTCCTCTGTGTGGCAAGTGGTTTTTTCTTTTTTTTTTTTCCAGTCACTCACTTTTATGTAGGAAGGCTGTCCTTTTTTGAGAGCCAGATTTTTATTGATGTCTCGTATTAGATACCCTGCATTTGTCCAGGTCTAGGTTTTAACTTCTGTTCTCTGTGCCTTGGGCAGCCTTTCAGGTAGAAACTGCGTCTTGAGAGCTCAGCATATACCCAAGATGAAAGCTGGCCTGCATGCTTACTCAATTCCTATATCACTACTTCCATTTTTCATTTTATTTTGGTGCTCTTTGAATTTATAGTGTTGGTGGGAGTAGCTGCTACATGTGCATTTGCTCAGCAGTGCGTTTAAATACAATTTTAAAGAAATCCTTAAAAGTATCATAGTATTTTATTGATTGCTAATTCATCATATTCCTGAAAATGGAAGGCTGGCTTAATATTCTTACTGGAAGAATCCAGAACATGAAGAAAAATGCATTAAATGTTCAATGATCAATACAATGAGATTCATATGGCTAAATCCCTCAAAAGAACCCATGCTCTCCCCAGCTGCTTCCATTCTTACCATCAAGGATATCCTTTGATTCTTTGTAATGGCCATGGTTTCTCAGCATCCATTTACTTTGAAAGAAGAAAATGATCTTTGATGTCAGGAAACCTTATACACTAGTACTGCCATTCAGTGTCGGAACACACTTTTCTCAGGTTAGCCTAGGGTGTTTGTAGAAGATTAGTAGCCACATAAGTGTTCAAAAGTTATAAGTCATTAGTGAGAGTCTTCAAAACACTTCAAGAATTATTGAAATCTCTTTGACCATTTTCCAGGATTGAGACTCTTAGTTTGTATTTCATTTTATCTTAGTACATTTATTTGTCTCCCTGCGTGTTAGTCTTACTTTGTTTTTAAACCTCTGCATATCAAATGCAATGGTTAGCAGGGATTGTTATGCTATGACGTTATATAATATTTAGCATGGGCCAGTGTCTATGATTCTGCCCTTTCCCTGGGCTGTGACAATATACAGATAGCCAGTATGTATGATTCAGCTCTGTCCCTGTGCTGTGTAAGCATACAGATAGCAGTAAATGGACTCAGTCCATCAGTCTACCTCTAGATGTAGATTATGAATACTCTGGACAAGAGACATTTCTTGACATCATATCAAGTCATTGGAAACCAGGAGTTCAATGTGCTTCTTAGTGCCCAGTGACAATACACTGGCATATGTAAAATACCACCTTTTACTTATCAATCTACTGGGGGATTATATCTACAAATATGCTATTATCAACTGCTTAAGGTACTTTATATTGTAAAAGATAAAAGTACATACCAGTTAAGGGATTTGAGATGTTTGAAGCATAAAGATGTGCTTTAAAGGGGACTCTTATAAATAAATGCTGGAAGACTATTAATTGTGAGTAGTTAACATAATTGAATTATAACTATGTCAGCCTTGTACTTGGTAGAAGGACAGGGAAAGGACGACATACAATAAGGCTGATTAGCCTCAAGAACACATTCATGTACAGCAGTCTCTTTAAGTCACCTTTGCTCAAATATCAAACCTCATATTTAAATGTAAGGGCAATTTGAAAACATTTAACCATTTTCTGATCACCTCTGCTTCTTTCTTTTTATTTTTTTCTGTTCCTTCTTTCCTTTCCTTTGCTCCATCTCTCCCTTCTTCCTTTTCCTCCTTCTTTATTCTTTCACTCTCTCTCTCTGGTGGAGATAGTGATTGTTCATAGGGCCTTTGTACATGCTTGACAAACACTCTACTATATGCTCACCCTTCTTGATATCTCCATTTTACAGATGAAGCAACAGGCAATTCTAAACTTGAAAGTAACATGTATATTTGAGCAACAAAACTATGTGAAATAATTAAGTATTCAAATAATCAATTTGTACTTTGAAGCAACTACCCCTCCATTTTTCTGGTCTTTGCTCATGAGAAATTCATCATTATAAAGAAAATAGACTAATATTTTAGAAAAAGTGAATAATAGAAGAACAATTTTCAGTACTGTTCTATACCTTATTCAACGCCTTAAAATTCTTTAATCCACCTGAAAGTATTATTAATTAATTTAGCACAACTGTAAGTATTGTAAAGCTTTAAGTTTTTCTGTAGTATAACAATTCAAAGCTGATATGATAATATTCAAATGACTAAATACATATAAAGTATATTTACACAAGATTTCTATTTACATGCAACTTAAACCACAGAGGAAAAGGGAATAAACATTGCCATCACCCAAGTGTAAACTTTACACGATACAACTTAGCCGTACTGTTGAATACAGGAAAAACAGAAACTCCTTAAGGACACTTGTGTACTGAGCTTAGCATCCCTGCCTTCACACATGAGCAGCTGTTATAACTCTAACTACACATCTTCCTAGAGACTTCTCTCTTGACAAGAGCATATCCTCCACTGTACACTGCAGAGATTTGAAACTTGCTAATTCACATTATTCTCCTTTAATGGAACTAACCTAAATGTTTAAATTCATGAGGTTGAATGGAAGTACAAGAATAAAGTACCAAAATACCATTTTAGCTTCAGTAGCATGCCATGGCTTTGCATCTTTTGGGTTTCTTTTATACAATGTCTAAGCAGACATACCCATACACAGAAACCTGGATGTCTATCTGTATTCAAAGAAATAATCACAGAAGTGGAGAGAAATATACAACATCTTGAGGGTGGATAAACATTTTACTTATTTTATTTACTACGGTGTCCTAAAGATGTCACATCCCAATTTCTAGAACATCTGAACATGTTATATTGCATCATAAAAGCAATTAGCAAAAATCATTAATACCGAATAACCTGAGAAGGAGAAGTTATTTGGAATTATGGTTGGACTCAATCTAATCACATAGTTCGTTAAAAGTGGAGACCCCTGTGCAGCTGTGTCCCAAAGAGATGGGAGCAGGAGACAAATACAACCCTTCATTCTCAGGCTCTGAAAGGTGGGAGCTGGTTGTGATAATTTGCTAAAGTTCTCTGGAGATGAAAGAAGTATAAAACTTTATTCCATAAGTCTTAGAAAAGAATTTAGTTTTGCCAGCACCCAGACTTCAGAACACGGAGACCTATTAGGTCATCTGACCTTAGGAACTGCATTTTATATTTTTTTAATTTAAACATTATAGTAGTGTTTCATTTTTATAGTGGAAATAGAAAATTAGTGCCATGTCTGATCCTCACAGCAAACTATTGACAATAGAAAACCCATGGATTACTATCTCTTATCGCTGAAATAACTAGGGACCAAATATTTGACATAATTGTGGAAAATTTTACTTGTTAATAGATGATGGGGTGAGAAGAAAATGAACTGGCAATAAAACTAGATCCATGACTGGCCTGGGCTCCCACTGTGGGTCTGCTGACATGCTTGGGCTACTTCCAAAACTTCAAGGCATAATGCTATTGAGGTAGTGAGTCTACAAAATAGAGATGTGTAAATAAGTGAACTGTGAGGATCAGAATACAGTGTCATTGGTAAACAATGAAGGATGACCCTTTTAATGAAAATCTGCAAAAATCAAACATACATAATAAAATGGACAATTTCGTGGCAGCACAGAGGGCTGCAGTAGCAACAGACTAAGAAACACTAAAGCATTTAGGATTTTATTTCATTAGGTCTGGTGAAGTACAATGAAAACTGAAACTCCAGAGAAAATGGAGAAAAAAATAGGTTTTTTTGGTAGAAGGGAAAAAAAGCAAGGAAAGAAGGAACAAGAGAGGAAAGAAAGACAGATGTTGGAAAAGAATGCTAAATGTAGGTTTCAGGAGAGACGACATTTCACAATTACAGACTCCTACCTGCTCTCTGTGAGCATTTATTAGGTACTCCCATAAGTAGCTTATGCACATTTCATTTGCAGTCAGCATTCATTATATATCGTGTTCTTTACAAGGAATTATTTCCTATTACTCAGACTTATTAATAACAAATACAGAACACAGTTATATCTTGTACAAGTAATATTTGTGTGCGGAGAGCTTCCTGTGTGCACACACTTGAGGAAGCCAGAGGTCAATGTCAGGCATGTTCTTTGACCTCTTCCTTCCTTATGTTTTGAGACAGGGTCTCTTAGTTAACCTGTCCATCACTGATTTGACTAGAATGGCTGACCAGAGAGTGGCAGATGTCCTCCTGTCTCTGCCTCCTCAGCACTGGGAGAACAGGCACGTGCTTAAGCAACTGCTTCTACCTTCCTAGTCTTCCTCATGAGTATTCTTATTTATTTATTTATTTATTTATTTATTTATTTATTTATTTATTTATTTATTTATTTATTATGTATACAGTATTCTACTTGTATATATCCCTTCAGGCCAGAAGAGGGCACCAGATCTCATTACAGATGGCTGTGAGCCACGATGTGGTTGCTGGGAATTGAACTCGGGACCTCTGGAAGAACAACTGGTGCTCTTAACCTCTGAGCCATCTCTCCAGCCCTCATGAGTATTCTTAATATTCTCATTTCCATATCTTATCCTATGTGCATAGGAAAGACCGGGGCGAACGTTCCAAGTGTCAAGGTATAGCATTTGTCCCTAGCTACTGAGAAAATGCTTTGCCTTTGATTTCAGAGGAAGTCAATTTTATTTTTCAGAATGTTAGGTACTGAAGTCATCACAAAGGTATTTTGTATTTGGTTCAAAATAGCAATAATGGGTAAGTCTCTGTCTCGAACCTGGAGATGAATCTGATTCGCCTTTCCCTCAGGAAAGGGAAGTATTGTGGTAATATGAAGGAGCTAATATGCAAGACCTAGAACTAAAGAGAGAATTCATTCAGACATGCTACTCCTGTGGATTCTAAATTCTGCTCTAAATCAAATCAGTATGATAAAATTA